AAAAAAAAAAAGTGATGGAAGACATCATCAATGGTGCTATCAAACAGCACTTTCACAGCAATACCCTTCTCACCGACATTCAGTTTACATTCTACTCAGCTCCTGACTTCATTACAGCCTTAGATCAAACATGGACAAAAGGCCGAATTCTAGGAGGTAAGGTACGACCCTTGACATCAAGGCTGTATTTGATAGAGTGCGGTGAAAAGGAACCCTAGCAACAGTAATCAGGGGAAACTCCTCACCCGTTTGAGTCATAGCTAACACATACGAAGATGGTTGTGGTTGTTGGACATCTGTCATCTCACCTCAAGAACACCTGTGCAAGAGTTCCTCAGGTTAGTGTCCTCAGCCCAACCATCTTTGCTCTTGACCTTCCATCCATCATAAGGTCAGAAATGATAATTGTTCACTGACAACTGTACCATGTTCACAAAATGCATGATTCCTTAGATACTAAAGCAATCCAGGTCCAAATGCAGGAAGACTTGGATAATATCCATGCTTTGGCTGGCAAGTGTCCAGTAACTTCTGTGTCGTACAAGTACTTTGCAAATGACCACCTCCAACAATTCTGAGGAAGGGTCTAGACCCGAAACGTCAGCTTTCCTGCTCCTCTGATGCTGCTTGGCCTGCTGTGTTCATCCAGCTCTACACCTTGTTATATCTGCTTTAAACACTTTTTTTTGTTCCAACAGCCATTTTGGAGAATATAAGATAGTAATAGAATAGTTGTTTGTTCCAGCATTTAGAATAGAGTTATAGACTCATACCATCATACAGTACAGAAGTGGACCTTTGGCCCATCAAGTTTTGTACTGCCAAGAATTGGTTAGGCCACTATTGGAGTACTGCGTGCAATTCTGATCTCCCTGCTATAGAAAGGATGTTGTGAAACTTGAATGGGTTCAGAAAAGATTTACAAGGATGTTGCCAGGGTTGGAGGGTTTAAACTATGGGGAGAGGCTGAATAGACTGGGGCTGTTTTTCCTGGAATGTTGGAGGCTGAAGGGTGATCTCAGAGAAGTTTATAAAATCCTGCGGGGCATGGATAGGATAAATAGACATGGTCTTTTCCCCAGGGTAGGTGAGTCCAAAACTATATGGCATAGGTTTAAGATGAAAACTTTTTCTTGCAGAGGGTGGTGCATGTATGGAATGAGCTGCCAGAGGTAGTGGTGGAGGCTGGTCCAGTTACAACATTTAAAAGGCATCTGGATGGGTATATGAATAGGCAGGGATTTGAGGGATGTGGGCCAAATGCTAGCAACTGGGACTAGATTCATTTAGGATATCTAGTCCGCATGGATGAGTTGGACTGAAGGGTCTGTCTCTGTGCTGTATACCTCTATGACTCTAATATACGTTAGTCCCACTTTCCAGCACTGGACGCATAGCAATCTTGAAAATATTCTATGAGCCTCATCAAGACCACTATCACCAATTTGATTCTTCCAATTTAAGCATAGACTAAAATTACCCCCCATCACCCATACAGCTGGGCCACCTGTAGTGCCATGGCTCTGTTTCTTGCTGAACTCTCCTTAAGGTTGCTGATGCTGAGAACCAGCTTTTTTACAGGGCTCAGAGAGTACAGGTTTCTTTCTTCCCCAGCCTATTCTATTGTGTCCTTCAAGAGAGAGGGCAGAATGACAGTAAATAGGTTGTTATATGTTTGGGTGAGGTGCCTGCAATAGTTGAACAACTAAAGATATATGGAAATAGTGAGATGCAGAGTATGATCCCACTATCCTGTGGGTCACCCTGACTCATGTTCCCAAAGGTTCATTGTTCAAGAATTGGCTGTTCAGATAAATAAAGACGCATGGCAGAAAATTGTGATCTTGAATAAATATAGTACTCAAATTGAGGGTCATCTGATGACATGATAATAACAGCATTGGCAGGTGTTTGAGGGTGAAGTTGAGCTTTTGGATGTTAAGCATGAATTTTGATTGACAAGGTCTAATGTGTGTTTGATTGGGATATGGTGCTTTGAGGAGCTTTGGACCAGAAATATCATGTAAAGATGTATTCACTGACATTGACCATTCTTGCATTTTGACTTTATTTGTTTAGTCATACATGGGATGTGGGTGTCACTGGCTAGGCCAACACTTATTGCCCATCCCTAATTGCCCAGATGGCAGTTAAGAGTCAACCAGCCAAACCAGGTAAGGATGGCAAAGGACATTAGTGAACCAGATGGGTTTTTCGTGACAATCGACAATAAGATTCATTTGACTCTTAATCCCAGATTTGAACCCAGATCCTCAGATCGTTACCTGGATCTCTGGATTAACAGTCCAGTGATAATACCATTAGGCCATTGCTCCCCTAATTATCTTGCTGTGGTGTTGCAATGTCCAGATTTTTTTGGGATTGACTTCTTAGGCCACCAGACCTTTTTGAGAACAGTCATAGAATCCCTAGAGTGTGGAAACAGGCCCTTTGGCCCAACAAGTCCACAACAAACCTCAGAGCGTCCCACCCAGACCCATCCCCCTTGAAGGCCTTCTAGCCACCCTGCGAAATCTTAGAGTTTCTTGTCCACTCTACCACAAAGGTTTCTAATGCCACCCATGTCCATGGTATTCTCTTCCTGTCATGGTATAACATTCAACTTTTTTAGCATTGTAACAATCGTGTTCAGCAGCAGCTTCCTGCAATTCTGTGCAATTTCCCTTTGAGAAGGACAGACTATCTTTCAGAACATAAAGCTGACTACACTACGTGCTATTAATGCAATCTTGCTTAACTTCCAGTTGAGCAGGGACCTAACACACTGCCTTTTGCCACGATCAGGTATATAAGGTGGCACCAACTTTTGTGTGCTACCTGCCTTCAGTAGAACTAGCTGTGGGCAGGTCGCAAATCATGACTCCTGTGCCAAAAAATTGGGCAAACAGATTTTTAGCCTGTAATTTATAGAATAAATATTCATGGATCTGAGAACATGGTGAGAGGAACCTCGCATTTTTCTTTCAAAAATATATATTTAGTTTACAAATGTTTGTCAAATGGCTCAAGCAGATTGCAACAGGCTTGTGGGTGAGGTCTCTTTAGGTCGCTGAGATTATTTCTGCCTTTCCACCTTGGAGGACTCTTGCTGCTGCTGCTCCAAATTCATACATCTATCAGCTGCCAGGTTTTGCAATATATAGCACGCAATGCAGATTTGGTAGTTTAGTCAGCAGACTGCTTCCTGACTTATTGAGGCTGTGGAGCCACTGTTTCACCGTGCTTATTAAGTGCTCAATATACTTTAGGTGCAGGTAGATGCTTTATTAATGGTGCACAAAGATGATCATTCAAGCAATAACAAGTATGCCTCATCCCCTAAGAGCCAACCCTTACCTTACTGCATGTTTGTAAATAACAAAACACTGCAGACTGTGTAGAATGAAGGCATAAACTGTTGCTCAAGAACCTTGCATTCACTTGTGTGACTTTGTGAAAATAGGCATGTATGTGTTAGATACTAACAGTAGAAACCTTTTAAGATGGCTTTGCAGAGGATTACAAAGGGTATCAGTTACTTCCTGTACTTGGCAAATCCTATCACAGTGGATCATTTTGAATGTTTGGACATGTTGATCCATGCTTTTCATAGAAAAATTTAGTTTATTGGTTAATTCTGACAAATAGTGTACAATTCACTCGTAAATGCACTGATGCATTAAATACAGAAGCTGAATCCATAGTTACAAGAGGTTGAACAATTTTAAACTTCTATTTTATTTAGACAAGAAATTACATCCCTCCTTCATTGCCATTTGACCTACCTCAATTTTTGTACGGAAATGGAAATACACCGCCATTTGGTCAAGAGATGAGGAAAAAGCATTTCCTTCTTGAGGAGGTAGGATTTCTGCACTTTTGCCAAAAGACTGAATGTTTTTTCTAGTTTTTTTTTCTAATTGTCCTTGTACTTTTAGCAATTTTGCTGAATGGACCAATTATTTTGTTGTTGCTGTAAAAAAGACACATCATGTCAAAACTTTTCATCTAACACTCAACGGGATATTTCGCAAGATTAAAAATTCAAGAGGAAAGCCAACATTTAAACTGCATGAGAGGAGAGTGCTGATAGGTTAGCAAATGATCTCTAATTGGTAGCGGTATTGCCATGGGGAATTCACCCATTAATGTTGGTTTGGAGATGTTAGGAAAGGAAGTGACCAGGAAGACAGACCTGCCCTGCTCTTCAGATAGTAGAAGAATGCAAAGGCAAGTTACATAGAACCTGAGGGCAGATGGGATAAAGCAGGTCATTGTACTCAGTGGATGGTAGCCATTGTCAGGCTGTCTTCACCCTCATTTTCTTTCTTCAACTGAGTCGTAGTCCTCTGTTGCTGGGGTACATTGTCAAGGATGGAGGGCAGAATGTAAAAATGAGCTGGCATGAGATATTTGGGATAAAAATAACCTGGCAAAGAGGTATAAAACTGACTATCTGCAGAGGGATTCTACATTGTTCAGTAATTATTTTTCATTACAGGCGACAACTTTTATTAATCACGGAGCTTTCGGTTGTACTTTGAAAGATGCTCTAGATGTTGCCCAGGTGAGATCCCAATAATATTAGCCTACAGATTATGGTTGTTGTTGCAATGAAACCTGTTTTATTTGTGGGTTACAGGGAGTAGAGAGGATTTGGAGTAGAAGGTAGCTATATATTTCCTAATTGCTGTTTGGAAGAAGCAGTTGTAAGTGCTACAGTGTTGCACTAAACCAATTAGGCTAATTATGATACTAATAAGTAGTTATATAATAAACATTTCAAATACTTTACAGCTACTACATAACATGTGGCATACTGTTAACTCTTAACTTACAAACTGAAGTCACGACAATTCACGTACTCATACTGAGTAAGCTATAACATGGATTAATTTAAACCTGTTATGAGCGCTCAATTCTGTGACAACGCTATGACTTTAAGAGGTGTATTTTGTCCTTTTTTTATGAAGAAAGGTTGAGACGAAGGTACAAGCGGTCTGCTCAAAAACCAATAAAGTAAACAGCTTGTAAAGCCTTGGGTTTTTTAAGAGTTGGAACAATAGAAGTAACCTGAATGGATGGGGTCAAGCTTCCACAGAACCAGGATTTTTAGTTTTAGCTTTATACAGTTCCTGGGGTTTTGAAGCTGGCTATGGAAGCTCTTATTCCTCTCTCTGTTACAGCTAAAAGCTGGAGTTCTCTTCTTGCTGCTGTAATTGCATATGAGGCAATCTATTTTACAGAATTTGCCTTTGCCAATGGTGTGTTTATGGGATATTACTGTATTGGAACTGTTAATTAGTAGTAGTTAATATATCTATTATTTGTTAAGCACTTCGATAGAATTGCAGTGAGCCAATTCTTTTCTTTTGTTTTTATTTTGTCTGTATTTTAACTGTAGTGTAAATATAAAGCATGTTTTGCTTAAAGTCAAGTAGTTTGGCCAATTAAAATGCATCTGGAACGTAACACCTTATACTTATTTTTAAATTAAAAAATGTTAGGATCTAGGCTATTTTCTTAATTTACCTTGAGGGGTTTGGTCTGGTCCGTAACAATTCCTTACTCAACAAGTTTCCAGTTCAAATAGAAGGAGCTTTTGACAGTGTTTCTTAGAGGAATTCATTATAGAATCAACTAGAGAGATACTAGATTTGGTATTGTGTAATCAGACAAGATTAATTAATAACCCCAAAGTAAAGGCTGCAATAGATAGCAGCAACTACAATATGATTGAATTTTTGAGAAAGAGACTAGTTAAAGTAAACAGTGATATCGGGCTAGGGAATAGATCAATCGAGAAACATGGCAGGCATTTAAGAATACTAGAATAAGAATATTCCTACTGTGAAGAAATATTCTAAGGGAGGACCCACTGTCCACATTTGACTAAAGAAGTTAAGGAGAGCATCAACTTAATGAAAAAGCATGCACTTGCGAACAGATGACTGGCAGATCAGATGATTATGCAGAATATAAAGAATGGCAGATAATGACTAAACTGTCAATCGGGAGAAAGAAATTAGATCATGAGAGGAAGCTGGTTAGAAATGTATAAATGGATAACAAGAGTTTCTATAGGTATTTAATAAAGGAGAGTAAGCAAAGTAAATGTTGGTTCTCTAGAGAGTGAGAATGTGGAGTTCATGTCATCAGGCTGGAAAGTAAAAATGTAACTCCTCTGTTGAAGAAGGGAAGATCATAGGGAGTCATACAGCATGAAAACAGACTCTTCGGTCCAACTAGTCCACACCGACCATGTTCCCAAACCAAAACGGTCTCACTTGCCATTGTTTGGTCTATATTCTTCCAAATCTTCCCTGTTCATAATGTAGAAAGCAGGAGACTGTAGCGCAGGTTGATGATATCTGATGTGGGGAAGATGTTTGAATGAATCATTAAGGAGGTTATGAAAAGCACAAGGTAATTGGAAAGTGAATATTTTTTATTCACTTACAGGAGGTGGCATCACTGATTGGGCCAGTATTTATGTTCTTCCCCAGTTGTCCTTGAGAAGGTGGTGGTAAGCTGCCTTCTCGAATCACTATAGTCAATGTGCTGTAGGTAGATCCTTGGGACGGAATTGTAGGATTTTAACCTGGTAACACAAAGGAATATTTCTGAGCCAGGATAGTGAGAGGCTTGTAGTTGAACATCCAGGTAGATGGTGGTTGTTCCCATGTAGTTACTGCCTTTGTCTTTCAAATGATTGTGGTCATGGGTTTGGAGGATGCTGTCTAAGGAGTTTTGGTGAATTTCTGCAGTGCATCTTGCAGATGGTACACACTGCCACTTCTGCACATCAGTGGTGGAGGCAGTGGTTGTTTGTGGAGGTAGTTCCAATCAAGCGGGCTGCTTTTCCCTGTGTGATGTCCAGCTTCTTGAGTGTTGCTGGACCTGCTTTCATCTGGACAAGTAGGGAGTATTTCATCACAGTCCTGATTGTGCCTTGTAGACTTGTAGTCACACTTGTCTGACAGACAATATCCCAGGCACACTATCATCATCTCTGCGTATATCCTGTCCCACTGGCAAGACAGACCCAGCAGAGGTAGCTGCACAGTGGTATACAGTCAGGAAGAAGTTTCCTTTGGAATCCTCAATATTGATTCTGGACCTCGTGAAGTGTCACGACTTCAGGTTAAATATGAGCGACACTGTGTGGCGTTTACATGTTTTTTTCTATGTCTGCATGGGTTTCCTCTGAGTGCACTGGTTTCTTCCCACAGTCCAAAGATGTGCAGGTTAAGTGGATTGACTGTGCGAAAAATTGCCCCATAGTGTTCAGAGATTTGCAGGTTAGGTACGTGGGCCTTCACTATCATTGGGTCAAAATCCTGGAACTCCATAACAGCATGAGGGTGTGCCTACATCCAAGATATTGCTATTGTTGAAGAAAGTAATTCACCGACTCCTAGGGATGGGCAAGCAGTGCTAGCCTAACCAACAACACCACATCCCATGAACAAATTTAAATAAAACTTGTGCCCAGACATTTGGGTCATGAAGGCAAATGTGAGACATTTCCCAGTCTTGCAAACTTGACTAGAGAAATACTGGTCAGATTTTCATTCTGGGGTGGTAGGGTTCTCTGTGAGGTGGGCCAGGGGACCTCAGACCAAGAGCGGAGGCAACTGGCTGCTGGTGTGGCTGGATTCAAAGCTTGCCTCTGTATCTTTCATTTTTAGAAATGCAACCCTAAACAAAACTCCAGTTCTCATCCCTCAGACTGTACCACCTGCACATGCTAATCCATGCCCCATCCGTGTTAACCCATGCCATTTCATTCCCTCATGGTGCCCTATCCCCCTCTACCTGCCCCAAAGGTACTTTATACCTGCTATGCCACCTTGTTCAAACAAGGGAAGTCCTATGCTTCCTTTTGTGCTGGAAGGTAGAGCCAATTCCACAGAAGATGCTTGATGCGAAAGTCATCACTGTACACAAAAGTGACAGCAGAGAGCACAACAAACAAGGGCATAAGACCATAAGCCTTAGGAGCAGAGGTAGGCTATTGAGTCCATTGAGTCTGCTCCGCCATTCACTGAGCTCATGGTTGAGCTGATAATCTTCAACTCCAGTTTCCTGCCTCCTCCCTATAACCCTTGATTCCCTAACTAAGTAAACATCTGTGTATCTTAGCCTTGGATAGACTTAAGGATATAACCTCAAAAGCCCTCTTCAGTAAGGAATTCCACAGATTCAGAACCCCCTGAAAGAAGAAATTCTCCCTCATCTCTGTCTTAAATAGAGAACTGCGTATTCTGAGATTATGCCCTCTGGTCCTAACTCTCCCACAAGGGGAGACAACCTTTCCCCTCTTTGGTGTCCCTAGGAATGCCTTTCCTAGGATTCCGTTTAAAGAAACTGAGAGTAACTCAGAAAAAAACTGAGTTTCTGCACTGACAGATCTACAGTGGAAATAATCTTCTCTATATATCAGCTACAAGAGAAGTGTAGGGAGTAGGTTATGGGTGTTAGTTTATGTTGCTTTTGCAGATCTCACTAAGGCATTTAATGCTGCCAGCAGAGCAGGGCTGTGAAATTTTGGGGAAAATTGGTTGTCCATTAAAGTACCATAGCCTCTTCTACTCCTGCCATACACGCCTGTATTACAGTTTAGTGGCTCTACTAACAACGGTTTCAGATTGAAGAAAGGAGTGAAACAGGACTAGTCTAATACCTGGAGTGTGAATGAGTTGTGCAGTTTTGGTTGCCCTGTTATAGGAAGAATATTATTAAACTGGAGAGGGTTTAGAAAAGATTTACCCAGATGTTGCCAAGAATCCGATATAGAAATAAACTGGAAAGGTTGTGACTTTTTCCACTGGAGCGTATGAGGTTGAGGGGTGACCTTGATGAGGTTTATAAAATAATGAGGGGTATAGATAAAGTGAATGACAAGGGTCTTTTCCCAAGGGTGGGGGAGTTCAAAACTAGGGGACATATTTTTACAGTGGGAGAAGAAAGATTTAAAAAGGACATTAGGGGCAACTTTTTAACACGGAGAGTAGTTTGTGTGTGGAATGAACTGCCAGACGAAGTGATGGATGCAGATACAGTAACAATGATTAAAAGACATTTGGGTAAGTTCATGAATAGGATAAGTTTGGAGGGATATAGGCCAAACCCAAGCAGGTGGGACTGGTTTAGTTTGGGAATGTTGATGGTGTGGACTGGTTGGACCGAAGGGTTTGTTTCCATGCTGTATGACTCTATGCTCCTATTTGCTGGAGTTCAGAAGAGTAAGATGTGATGTAATTGAATCGTATAGGAACTCGAGATGTCATGGTGGGGTGCATGTAAAAGGGATGCTTCCTCTTGTCAGAAAATCTAGAATCAGGAATCACGGTATAAAAACAATGGGTTGCCCATTTTAGATAGATTTTTATCTCTAAGATGGTCACAAGCCTTTGGAGCTCTCTTCCGTGTTGAATGACATAATCCTGATCCTAATCCATATGTTCAAATGAAATCCCAATGAATGCAGCCACCTATTTACAATTAAACATAATTCGTATACAATTAATACCCAAAACTCTTTACAGAACGATCATTAACAAAAAACAATGTTGTAAAAAATAGTGGAGTTATTCTGCGTCTATTCTGTATGTCAGTGACCATCAAAAGAAAATAATTTTCACCAGTGATAATTGTAAAGCAGCACTGGAGCAGCTGGTTCACACTCATGTACCTAACAATTCATATCATCATGCCATTTCTCCTCTATTTGCTTTCCTTGCCTCTGTGCTTGTTTAATACCTATTGGAACTCTAAATTTTCCCAATTCTGTTTATTGAGACATTTACTCTTTCTCTCTATATGAATGCTGCAAGACCTGCTGACTGTCCAGCATTTCCTGTTTTTAATTCAGATTTTGCATATCTTTGTTTTAAACTATTACAGCATTCAAAAGAACAAAAGTCACTTAACTCTTTTAAATTCTTCAACAGAAATGGCAGGTGTATATTGAACAACAGCCATTGCGGTTTTATGACAGAGAACTGTTTCCTCATCTGGTATTTGTTACCAAGCGATTAGCTGAGTTTGTGGGTATGAAATGTTGCCTTTGTTTTTTACTCTGTCTCATATATTGCAAAATGCCTTTATTTTTGTCTTGCACTGATTTGATATTTTTGACACAATTTATTTTAACTGTTTAAATCTGTTACAGGTTATTTTTGCTGTATTTCAGGTTGCTCGCCCACTGACTTAGTGCTGATACCAAATGTTACCATGGCAATGAACTGCGTTATAAAAAGTCAGGTTCTGAAACCGGGAGACACAGTATTCATGTTAAATGTGACCTATGGTATGTACGCTCTGTTTTGCAGTGGTTCCTTTTGATGTTCTTTCATTAAAAACAAAGTTTAATTTGTCCTTTTATTGACGGTAAAATTCTTTGTCAGTTCAGTGATTCTCCAGAAAATTTCTGGTTGCATTTGTAAGGACTTTAGTGAGCCGCCATTGGACTGTCAAGGAGAGAGTCAAGACCACTAGTGAATTTTCTCGTTCATTGTGCATATCATGTTATTGAGTAGGATTCAAGAGACTCGGGGGTTAATGTCAAAATCTTAAGGATTGTGTATATAGTCTGATCGTAGATCTATGAGAGAAGAAACTAAGAGAAGGTTATGAAAGAGTTATTCAGTTGGAAGATAAAAGGGTGGAATTTTATAGGGGCCTGTCTGAGGTGGGCTATGGGTGAGATTTGTAGCAGAATTGGGTGAGAGGTCCAGCAAGGCCCATCTTAACATAGGAGCAATTTGCTGCCTCTTTTGTGCATTTGCCAAGTAGTGAGGCAAGTTTCTCACCAGGTAGCTCCAAGTTACCAATTAAGGGGTTTATAGCTTATTAAATGCCTTAATGAAGCCACAACTTCCCTCATTAATATTCAGTTTCCTATATTATCAAATGTGCCAGAGAAGCCTGATGCTGAGAATTCTTGACATGGAAGTCAGAGCCGGTACCCAGCGATTTCAACTCACTGCTGGCTGCGTCCAGCCTCAAAGTTGCTCCGCACCAAACAACATCTCAAGGCACATTGCATGCACCCGTTGTCATGGACATTGGCATCCAATATTTGCCAAGCCATGATGACCAAGACAAACGTATCCAATTCATTTCCATGCCGCTTTGCACAAATGTCCCTTGCAGGGTGCACCATCAACCAGCATTGAAAGGCTGTTGTAAGGATACTTTGCATGCATAGACAGACACTCAGGTCACAGATTGGACCAGGCTGCATTTCAAGGTTGCTTGCTTAGATTCTTATGTTCCACAGTGTCCAGTCTGGAGAGGTCAGGCTAATGCAGTTAGGGAGATGTGCAGCCAACAGTCAGGTTCTGGGCACTTCTTGTCCAAGGTTATCTAATTAGCTCACTCTCATAGTGTCAACCTGCATGGTCACAGCTTGCCTTGTTGTGCCAATTAGCACAGTTACACAACCAGGTATCTTGTCATGCTGGTCATCAGTCCTCAGTCAAGGGGGGATATGTCTATTTGTAAGCCACGTTGCTACTTCAGTCTCACACCAGGTACCAGCAGGTTATGTGCGAGCATGCTGCATGTGCAACAGACAAGCAGCCATGTCTCAAAATCTTAGGGGAGTAGACCTCAATGAAGTCCATGGAAGCACCTATCAGTCAGCGCAGCAAGTTAGGGCAGCCACTGATACCAGTCCAGGGTATTGGCCACAGTCAAGCATCCGGTTGGGGTGATGTTGGTAAGGGGGTCAGTCCCTTTGCAGCCCAGGGATTAGTCACAGCCAGTTCTGTGACTCCATAGTGGCCAGACCAGGAAGATAGGGCTAATGCTGTTTGGGAGATGTATAGCCATCAGTCAGGGGTCTGGGCACTTCTTGTCCAAAACTGCCCTAAGGGGCATGCTCAATCTGTTTAGTTTTATTCAGAAACTAAGGGGAATGGGGTGTAAGGCCCCTCAAAGGAATTTTGGGAATTTATTCATAGGGATTCAGGACTACAGGCTGGCTGGGAAGGGAGGATGACAATTGAGAAGAGGGTGCAACAGTATTTTTGAGGGAGGATAGGGTAAAACATTGATGGGAAAGGGGAGTTTATTCGTAGTCAAGAGTGCCTTGGCTACCTGTGGGGACAGAGGTGGGGAGCCTAGTGTCTGACTCCCTCAGACATGCTCACCTCAAATGCCAGGGGCTGGAGGAAAAGGCAGCAGGTGGAGCCTCTGGTAGATGGATTGGGTGGGGACCTGGGGAGATGCAAAGATGCAAATTTTACAGGAAGGGCTGTAAGAAAGGGGATTTGAATTGAGAGAGCTTCAATGATACATAGAGGTTGAGGCTAGAGGCTTTCTATCCTGGTGAAAATTGAAAGTAAAGAAAATTCAGTAAAGAAAATGGGTGCAACTGCACAGAGTGCATATGGACCAATGACTGGAACGATGGAGTACAGATGTGTGCGCTTCTCCAGCGTACTGTAAGGGTGCTGGATCTGGTGTTCCATGACACCCTTGCCAACCTGCCAATGGAGGCAGACAGATGGTCATGTGATTAGCTGCATCCCTGCAGCATTGGGCAATGAGGGCCATTGTATCCAACATATCTGTCTACCACCCCCGTTTTCCCTGTGCATGTGGATGACATCCCTGATTGCAGACACCACTGGATCCTCTCCTGCCTTGGGCTAAACAATCCTCCAAGTGTCATCCACTTGTCCAGACTCCTCCTTCTCTATTGTAGGCTGAAATTGGTGGGCATGGCAATGTTCTGGGAAGGGAGTAGGCAGCGCAGAACTCGTGTAGAATTGGTAGTACAAGAGGCTAGTGGGGGCTGAGAGTGACTGAAGGAAGTTCCCTGCCTGACAAATCCCTGATTGGCTCCTGAATGGAAAATGGATATTTCAATCAACTGTAAATTCTGTTTGTATTTGTTTTCCGACCAGTGGTCCATCATTTGTCCTGAACATAAGGGTGAGACTAATGGCATTGTGCTTAAACAGCAATTGGGATGTCGTATGTGCAAAGAGATTTTACCTCTGTGATGTGAGAAATGTTGGGTTATGGCTGCTGTGCCACTGTGTTGACTGTGAAGGGCAACTCCAGACTGCCAATAGTGGACTGGGTGCACAGCTAAGGGTCCAAGTTGGTGCTGGCACAAGAGATGCCAATTTATTCCAGGGATATCCCAGCAATGGCAAGTTCTTCTGGCTACAGTAAGTGATAAAATCAGGCTAGCATCGAATGACAGGGGTATCATAGGAGCAGGGTAGGTAGTTAATGAAGCAGATTTGAGATGATAGTGTAAAAAAACTTGCAGCCTTACAAAGACAAACACTCTATGAAACACATCTAAAATGACACAACCAAGATAATGTAAGATTCAGCCCATTGTCTGTCTCCACTGGAATATGATGTTACTGTACTTGCATGGTTGATTCAAACCAAACTCATCTCAGAGATTTAGCATTTATCCATTTCAGTCTAAAAATTCAGTTAAAAAATAATAAATTTCATTTGTGCAAACATGCTGTCTGGAACTAAAACGTATAATTACAAGTATGCACTCTCATTCATTTGAATTTTAATTAATTGGGATTTTTAAAAAAACAAAATCTTAAAGAAAATGATTATTCTTTACCTGTCCTTTCCATCTTCTCCTCTCACACTTAATCAAATGCATCCTCTTTACTTTTCTTTCCATACCTAGTTTGATATTAAATTCACTCACTTCAAATGGTATCACTTTCTCAGTCTTTGTGCTGCTACTTTCACAGTCCTGAAATTTCATTTTTAAAATACACGTGTAGTTGTTTGTCCTCTTTATTTAGGTCCCAGATTACCGTTTCTCCCCATTGCAAAGAGTTATTCTCTCTGATTTCAACTTCTAATGCAAAATATCATTGTGGTTAAATTGACAAGCACAAATCCAACAATGTATGATGGTATTTGTTGTCCTGCTTCCGGTAATGTATGCCTCATTTCCATTCTTTTGACTACTTAGCAAATCTCTTTTGGCCTCTGTAGGTGCTGTGAAAAAGCTTCTTAAACAAGTTTGTGATGAACGAGGAGTGACATTGCAAGAGGAAAGTCTGGAATTTCCACTATTTGGACCTAGTCAGGTGCTGTCATCAGACTAAAATGACACGAGCAATATTTCCTGGATACCAGTGCAATCCAGAGCAAACTGATCTTAAGTAACCATTTTTTTTTCTAATCAGCCCGTTGAGAGTTGTTATTACACAGGCCTCTCAGTCTCAGTAGGGACATTACCACTGTGCCACAAGAAGGCCCATAAGAAGGGTAAGTGTCTGAGCCCTGATGAGCTTTAGCTGAGAGTTTCTGAGCAAGAGGTTGAGCTACACACACTGTGACAGATCAGAGAGAGGATAAGAACCTGAATATTTTGTAACAGGTAGTGGCCACATCCCTTAGCACAGGGTCTTCTGATTTGATCCGTGGTCAGGGACAGGGAAGTATGGCTGAAGCTGGAGCTGTAAAGGGCCCCAAACATCAGGAGTATAGGGTCTTTGCAATTGTCCAATGGCTTTGAAGTTCTTTCATCTTGTTCAGATGAGAATGGGTCTGCAGACCCAATGAGCTAACTGACCAATGAGCTAACTTACCATATAACCATGGTACAGGAAGCCATTCTAGTGGCAGGAGCAAAAAGGAAATGTAATGATCGTAGGGCATAGAGTGAAGGGGGATTGACACAATTCTTTGCAGGAAAGAGCAAAAATCAAGAAGACTTTGTTACCTGCCCAATGCCAGGGACATCTGTATAAGGCAGGAGAGGAACTTCAAGTGGTAAGGGGATGACCCATGTGGTGGTCCATGAAGGTTCAACAGCATAGGCAGGACAAGGAAAGAGATTTTTCAAAATCAGTATAAGGAGCTAGGCAGAAAATTAAAGAGCAAAACCTCAAAGGTAATAATATCTGGACTTTTAACAAGCCAGATGCAAAATGCATAGGACTTTTAAGATCTAAGGAATGAATATGTGGCACAGGGACTGATTTGGTAGAAGTGGATTCTGGTTTGAGAGGTCTTGGCACCAATACAAGGGAAAGTTGGGGCTGTGCCTTGAAATGGTCTAAACCTGAACTGTGCTGGGACTGTTCTAATGAGCCGCATAACTAGGGAAGTAGAAAGTATCTGTATTTTAACACATGTAGCATGTAACAAAACAGATGAACTGACAACACAAATAATATGATGTGACGGCTATTGTTGAGAAATGGTTGCAGGATAACATTGAGTGGAAACTAAATATTGAATGGTATTTAGGAGAACAGGAAGGTAGGAAAAGGTTGAGAGAGGACTGTGTTCATTAGTAATGGTATTAGCTTAACAGACAGGGATGACCCAAGTTCAGGAAACCAGGATGTAGAAAGTTTGGATAAAGATGAGAAATAATAAAGGCAAGGAGTCACTTGTGGGAATGGTGTGTGAGTCTCCTAGCAGTAACCACACAAGTAGGCTGGAGTATAAAGGAAAAGAAAATCAGCAGCCTGTCAGAAGGGTACAATGTTAATCATAGGGAATTTTAAACTGAAAAAATCAGGTAGGCAAAGGTAGCCAAGGTGAGGAGTTCGTAGAATGTCTTTGGGATAGTTCCTTAGGACAGCACATCTTAGATGAAGCTATGCTAGACCTGGTATTGTTCAAGAGAAAGGATTAATTAAATATCTCCATGGAAATGCACCTTTGTAGCAGCAATCATAATATGATTGAATTTTGAATTGAGTTTGAGGGAGAGAAGACTGGGTCTAAGACTAGTATTTTAAACTTAAGTAAAGGCAATTGTAAGTGTATGAAAGCAGAGCTAGCTAAAGTGAAGTGCCATATTATGTTAAGAAATAGGTCAATAGCGATACGGAAGCACATAATTAACGGGTTATTTAGCATACACAGAATAGAAATATTTCATAAAGAAAGACAAATTCCAAGGGCAGGACCCACCATCTGTGGTTGTTTGAAGGATTAACACTGACCAGGCACTTCCCGGTTTTTCTTTGAAGTAGTGCAATAGGATATTTTATCACTTGAGAGGGCAGACAAGGACCTTGGCTTAAGATCTCATCATGTTGGGTTAATTTTTCCGATTCACAGGCTTGGTACAGTTTTGTTGTTTTTTTGGTACTGGGTTATTTACCAATATATATTGTAATTCTTAATTGGGGATTGCATTGCCTTCCCAGAATCATTTGGGTAGAATAAAGAAAAATATACGTGCTGAATTGTGTTGCAAAGTTGGGTAGAGTATTTCATGTTTGTAAAATGATAGAAGGGAAAGAGTGCATGGTCCCTTTAAATGATGATGTATTTTTTTAAAAGCCTGGGGATTAAGAAAAAATGTCTGCAGGCAGCAGCAGATGCACAGAGAGCTCTTGAAATTGAAATATTGTATCAGAAGGCTATAGTGTTAGCAGGCAAAGCAGCATTTTTACCAAGGCAACAGGTTTTTGAGTTTAGCCAATTAATTTAAACGAGGCCCTAGATACCAAAACCCAATTAAATTTAAATCTGATGATGTTGACAACCTAGGACCAATCCTATTGTAAGACATTAATAGGTCATTGAGGGTATAAAAGAAGAGTTGCTTTTGTGTGTGAGAAAAGAAGAGGTAATTATAGCATCAGCTCGACATTTAAATTTGCTGGAAAGGCCATCAGAATCTTTGGAAATGGCTAGAATTCAAATGCAATTGAAGCAGCTTGAACAGGAAAGGGAATTGTTTGAATTACAGTTATATGCAGAGGAAAGAGAAAAAGAAAAAGAGAGTTTGAAATTTGGAATTTGCAAATTAAACAGGATAGCCAACTTAAAGTGATGGAAATGAAGGTAGAAGATAGGCTTAACGATGATGAGCAGACCTATCGTGGCCAAAAATCTGATAGGGATATATACAAATATGTCAAAACATTACCAAAATTTGTTGAGAAAAAGATGTAGAAGCCTTTTTCATTTCCCTTGAGAAGTTGGCTAACCAGATAAACTGGTAAGAGACGATGTGGGTGATGTTAATTCAGACCAAGTTGATAGGTAGGGCTAGTGAGGTTTTTGCAGTGCTGTCAGATGAAGTGTCATAAGAATATGAAGAAGTAAAACAGGCTATTTTGAGTGCCTATGAATTGGTACCAGAATCATATAGACAATGGTTCAGAAATATAAGGAAACATGGAAACGTAGAAGATAGGAGCAGGAGGAAGCCATTCAGCCCTTTGAGCCTACTCCGCCATTCTTCACGATTATGGCTGATCATCCAACTCAATAGCCTAATCCTGCTTTCTGTCCATAAACTTGATCCCATTCACCCCAAGTGCTATATCTCGTCGTCTCTTGAATACATTCAATGTTTTGACATCAACTGCTTTCTATGGTAATGAATTCCACAGGCTCACCACTCTTCAGGTGAAGAAATGTCTCCTTATCTCCTTCCTAAATCGTCTACCCCGAATCTTCACACTGTGACCCCTGGTTCTGGACACACCCACCATCGGAAACATCCTTCCTGCACCTACCCTGTCCAGTCCTGTTAAAATTTTATAAGTCTCTATGAGACTCCCCCCTCATTCGTGTGAACTCTAGTAAAAACAATCCCAACCTAGTCAGTCCCTCCATCCCCGAAATCAGCCTGATAAACCTTCGCTGTACTCCCTCGAGAGCAAGAGCATCCTTCCTCAGAAAAGGATACCAAAACTGCACACAGTTTTCCAGGTGTGGTCTCACCAAGACCCTGTACAACTGCAACAACACATCCCTGCTCTTGCATTGAAGGCCAACATACCATTTGCCTTCTTTACTGCATGCTTACCTTCAGCAACTGGTGCACAAGGACTCTCAGGTCCTGCTGCACACTCCCCTCTCCCAATTTACAGCCATTCAGGTAGTAATCTGCCTTCTTGTTTTTGCTTCCGAAGTGAATAACCTCACATTTATCCAAATTATACTGTATCTGTCATTGATTTGCCCACTCACCCAACCTGTTCAGATCATGCTGAAGGATCTTCGCATCCTCATCGCAGTTTACCCTCCCACCCAACTTGGTATCAACTGCAAACTTGGAGATGTTACATTTTGTTCCCTCATCCAAATCATTAATATATATTATGAATAGCTGAGGTCCCTGCACCAATCCAGGAAAGAATTTGAAAGAATTAAACATAGCAATTTCGATAGATGGGTGAGATCATTAAAGATAGAAAAGACACATGAGGATCTTAGAGACATTATTCTGCTGGAGGAGTTTAAAAACTCACTTCCAGAAGTGATAAGAACTCATGCTGAGGAACAGAAAGTTAGAACAGCGAGAAGAGCTGCAGAGATAGCGGATGAATACTCATTAGTGCATTAATTGAAATCTAGCTTCTGACATCAGTTTCTTCTGTGAGGGATAGAAATTGGGAAAAAGGGAGATCCATCAATGAAAAACAAAAAAGAGATCACACTGGGAACAATTTACCACATGAGGAAAAAGAAACCCAAGACGGTGAAAAAGAGGCATAAGGCCTCAGGTGTTTCCACTGTAATAGAGGGGACACATAAAGGTGGATTAAGAGAGGCACTGGGAAGAAGGATGTGGTAAAAGATGCTAAACCAGTGGGATTAGTTGAAGTAGCGAAGGAAATCCCAAGAGAAGGTGAGGAGCTGCAGGAGGTTGCACTGCCTCGGCATCGGCTGGATAGTAAGACAGTGCCTGATCTTTTCAAAGACTTCACTTCTGTGGATAAGGCTTACTCAGGAAGAACAGTGGGAGAAGGTAAAGAAGTTAAAATATTGAGAGATATGGGAACTAGTCAGTCTGTAATAGTAAGAGATGAAAGTATTTGCACTCCTTCTGAAATGTTACCTGAGAGAGTGATAATCTGTAGAATAAATGGAGAGTGATTTAGTGTTCCCCTGTGTAAGATAAGGCTGGAAAGTCCAATCAAGACTGGGGAAGTGACAGTGGGAGTGATTGAAAGCGTGTCTATTCTAGGAATACAGTTTGTTCTTGGAAATGACCTACCCAGATCAAAGGTAAGAGCAATGTCCATTGTAATGGAGAAGCTGAAAGAAAACCAGGGAACTGGAGAGTTAAAAGAAAAATACCCTGGAATTTTTCCAAACTCTGTGA